GGATAGGCCAGTTGGTGTTCTAGCACCTTGGGGTGTGACTGTAGTTGCAGCTCCAGGGCCACGTGGGCACCTAGCCTTCATTTGTGATGTGGGTGTGAACTTGATATTAAGTTATTTATTTGGAATATTTAGACAGGCTGGCTCAGTTTGGCTTTTAAAAGCAGGTGTAAATGTGGGCCTCTATAAATGATAACAAGGCCAGATGACCACACTGGGAGCCACATTCGTTACTCTTTGTTGAAGTCTGTAAGTTGTTTTACTCTTTAACTCTCAAGATCTGATTATTAATTAATTCTCCCCTCTAGCTGCTGCACAATTGCATATTCATCAGTTATGAGAACTTTTCTGTTAGATCAAGAAAACATCTTCTACCTGATTAGTTTTAGTATTCTCATCACCTGTTTGCAGGATAATGTAAGGATATTATAGGGAGAAGTTACCTGTTAATCATTTCTGGGAGTTAAAGGGTTAATGTCCCCTGCTTATAACCAGTACAGAGAAGATGTAGGAGAGTATGGGGCCTATGGTTTATCATCCTTAGCCAAGAGGACTAGAATGTCTAACCATTTGCAGACGTTGTATCAAAGGCAGCACATTCCCCTCAATTATTTTAAGACCCTGAGTGTTGTTGTGGTCTGAGGCTTGAACCCTCAACTACCAACACAGCCTTAACACCTTCACTATATAAAAAGAAATGACAAGGACACATCCAAACTGATCGCTAGATACTTTAATCTCCCTAATCATTCTGGGTGGCATATGGCACTTTGTGGCCTTTCCCTACATCTAGGTAGTTTGAAGGGTCGCAAAAAACTTCAGAACAAAAGTATCTCTCAAATAGGCACTCTTAAACCCCGCTGTATCAACAACTAATTTATTCTTGTTTTCTCATCACCATATTCCTGCCAATAGCATAGCTCCATTTTCTGCCTATAAATACACACACAACCCACAGTTCCTCCAACTGCTCTGATGAAGGGCTATTGCACGCAAAACGTCAGCTTTTAAACTCTATAAAGTGGCCAATTTCCATTATCAACTCAACTCAGTCAATAATACTAAATTACCCTGTTATACTCTCCCACTGACGCAGCACCACAGTTTCTATACAAACTTACCCCCTTTACCTGCACAGCAGTCCAACACTCAACAAGGGGTTAGCAGAAAAAAAAAATTAATTCATCTGTTTTAATTAGTTTTTCAGAATATTGTCGCTGTTCTTGTGTACAGGATCCT